CTGAACAATCAGACGGAGTGTTTGTGCTATCATAGCAGTGAGCTGGTTCGAGTGAACTAATTATAGGTGATCAGGTGTAAACGACGAAGTACTTGGTACGATGACATTGGTAACCTTATCTTGCACCTCACGGAAAGGTGTCATAGGACCAAGCGTAACAAGCAGCCTCACTTGCTTCAATGGGCGACCGCGGTTGCCTAAATCTCCGCGACTAACCCCAGCATTGCTGTCCGGTTGTCTCACCAGATTCGTGCAATGCGGTGTAGACAGTGGTATTCGAACACGGACAGTCTATCTGCATCCTGATTTATTAATGGCTCAGTTTCCGCATCGTATAGCAGAATTGACCTTACTACTGAAGTATGCACTCAAACCTTCGTAGATAGCCGCATGTTGCGACGGCGCCACAAATGTCTCAAGTTGGCACATATCAATAGAGTCTGACACTTTTTTCCGGATGCCTCCGCCAAGTGAAATTTGGCTGCCCAAATNGCAAAACTTGTCCACTTCCTTTACCACTCCCGCAGTTAGAGTCGAACTGCCGCAGTTTACACTCGGTGCCTCACGGATAGGTCAGGTTTTTAGGAAGAAAACAGGCTCTTGCCTAACGTGCGTCCAGGTTCATACACCAGTGGGATTTGGGATCTCCTCTGATGCTACGATATGAAAGTTATTACCGTGGATTGCAGTGGTTAATTTACATTCTGGGCAGCTACCCAAGAGAGCGATAATGACAAGGGTTCCCTTCAGGGAATACTGTTGTGTTATATCAAATAGGTCTACAGGGGGGGGGCGGGAGGAATAAGAACTAGCAGTACCATTGTGGAGTCTCACTTTCACACTCAAATTAGAGACCAGCAGCTGTAACAGTCAGCACTGACCAGCAAGGAGAGTATCGTGTACCTTTTTAAGCGATGTTTGTGCATGCATCAGTGGATTGCAATAGTAAGTGATTTACTGAGATGCATTCGGACGCGTGCTGTATGATGTACGATGAATGATAGCGTGATGGATTTATTGTGCCGTGTGCAGTAGACCTTTTTTCTTCTTTTCTCGTTTTATTTTTATTTAAAATCACTGTTTGCATCCTGAGACTACCCACAAACGATGTTTGTTGTCGTGATTACCTCGCTTTTTTTCATCACATACACTTCAACCGGAGACCAATAGGAGTACATCGCTGTGGCGTCCCACGTTTAGGCTGGCTCCTACAATCAGTGTGGCCACTTTGTTATTTATAGACCGCTGATCGTTCAATTGGAGTCCAACAGGAGAGCAAAGCTAAGGCGTCTCACATTTATGCTGGCTCTTGCGGTTAGAGCATGGTAACCACTCTATTTGGACCGCGTGATGTTTGGCTGAGGAAGACCAAGAACTTTTCTTTTTTTACGTTCTTATGACCTCTATCAATGATTTTGGTCTTGGCACGGCAACGAAAAATATCCAGTTAGGCATGTATGTAAGTACAGTTTTGGGCTAAAATGGCTCTTTGGTGTTCGTAACAAATGCACGTGCGCTTTGCAGTTGCTCAGAATGCCTTCACCTGTATCGTAACTGGATCTCTTGAGCGACTCATGTTTTAATCCACTCCGGTACAAGCTGTGAAGGGACACACTGATCCCACTCCGATGAGGAAGAGGGAGTCTGATCAAAAAGTAACCTGTTTTTTACGATGACCAGCGGACGTTAATTTACCAAAGATGATACGTAGAAACGGGTAAAAAAGGGNAAAAAGGGTGGACGCTAAGACAAGAAGGAAAATGTTTCGATCCAGTATCACCTCAGTACCCCCTTTTATTGTTGCCAACTGGGATGCAACCTAGTAAATATCTGGGAACAGATCCGGCCCCATTTGGTCTGGTGGATGTCAGGGCTCTCCGTAGCCAGAACAGCCATCGACGTGCACTTCCAGATGCCTTCAGGCAAGGGGAGGAGGGCTTCAAGTCATTTGTGATGCTGACTCCTAGATCCCGTACGACGGTAGCCATCCCGATTGTACTCAGCTCCCCCTGGGTGTTTGTAGGTCACCGTTCTGTATTTGTTGCTAGTAAGTGGCATTTGGAGAAATTTAGTGGCATTTTCTATTTCTGTGATCACTGCACTATTTTACCCGAGTCCTCCACCAGGTCCACCCTGCTACCACTACTTTATCTTCACGTCATCTATGAAAATGTAACAGGGGTTTTCCAGATGTACAGTCAGGTCATTGATGTAAAGAAGGAAAAATAGGGGTCCTAGGATAGAGCCCTGTGGGACCCCACTAATGACCGTTCCTTGTCCATTACCCTCAGTTCAAAGCTTCTGCTTCAAAGGAAGTCTGAGATCCACTTTGCCCAGGATTCTCCAATCCTGAAATTAGCTATCTTTTTACTCAGCAATCTAGGATTTACTGCATTGAAGGATAATCAAACTTCTATGGGTGATTTTTTTGTCCAGGCTGCACGCAACTTCATCTAAGACGATGAGGTTAGCTAGACAAGACCGTCCTTTGACGAAGCCATGCTCCGCATTGTTGATCATGCGATTTGCAGTCACGTGCTCACAAATGCGATCCCTGATAAGTCTATCCGTGCATTTTCCGATAACACTAGTTAGGCTGACTAGTCTGTAGTTTCCTACTTCTGAGACCCCCTTTGTGGATAGCAACAACAACAGCCCTTTTCCAGTTTCCTGGGATCACTCCGTCTCGTGGGGAAGCGTTGAATAAATCACCGAGTGGACACTGGATGAAGCAGTTCAATAGCCTAACCATTGCTGGGTGAATTCCATCCGCCCCTGAGGCCTTGTGTAAGTTTATCGCTCCAAAGATCCGTGCAACCTATTGCTCCATCATTTCCCCATTAAGAGTGAGGTTGGGTGCTGGACAAACCAGGTGTTGTAGCAGCATTTTACACTTTAGGTGTGCAAAACGTATATTGAATACGGCTGCAGTGCCGTTCAAACCACCCACAGAAGTCGGACGCTTACTTGGAGATATTGACCTATGGGTGGGGAAAATCAATTGAACTTCACAAAAGCTACAATTAATCGACTTGACTTCGGTCATGCACCTTAGTTTCGTCTCTATACCACATCTAAATTCGATAAAACTATTTTCCTACTTTCAAGAACCTGATCATCACTCATGAAATACTACACCTGTTAACATTTAAACACCATTGTGAGAGTATTTCCAGCATGATTACTAACCGATTAGAGTGGTCAGACACATGGATGTTCTTTGGTCAGATAGCAGACCAATTGTGGAAACCTGTGTGAAATATTAATCACCGTGAGGTATCGTTCTCGGAATATACAATCGACCAATCCAAAAGCAGATAAAAATGACTACATAGACGGTTTGGATGACATGGAAGTTTCCACTTTTCTAGTGTTAAAATAACAGTGTTTAAAAGTGTGCTCGCCAGCCATACACTACACAGTCATGTGCGGTGAAGGATAACATGTAGGCAAACCAAATTGAAACACGAGAGAATAATTTCAACATACCTTTGATCTAATAATGTGGCATGAACATCCAGCGTATTCGGAATATTCTGAGGTGAAGATTGGTTCTCATCTGGGGGTTTATGGATCTGACTATTCTCCTCCGACTCGTCATCATCACTCGAATCGAGAAGCTCGATCCGATCCTCACTATGGATCAGATCGTTATTAGGAACCTCAAACACTCGAGGGCAATTGGCTGTTGTTAGTACGACCGGTAAGGTTGACTGTTCAGAAGGCACCGATCTGTCCACGGGTTCTGCACTGATTACAGCCCGCGAACAAACATGGACGATTTGCGGACCGTAAACTGTATGGCTTGTCGCGGCCGAATCGGTACATCGTGAGTCCATCGAACGCATCACCGTACCTGCTGACGCTTCACACGAAGAATGTAGCAACAATGAAGGAGTGGACACTTTTGAATTAGAAGCAAGAGTAGTAACACTTGGACACAAAGTTGGATATGGTTCAACCTGAGAAGTCGGAGGGTTCATTGCATCATTCTGTTTTTCAGAAGCCATTATTTTGTGGGCTTTTAGTCGTAAACGTTTCCACGATCTTTTCGGCCAACCCATCTCGTGCAAGCGGCTAGAAATATTCATCCACATTTGTTTACTTTGGACAGCAGTCCTCTGTGTTGGAACGGTACTCAGAGCAGTTTGCGTTCGGGAGAGTACTTCAATCAAAGCCCTTCGTTCTGGTGAAGTAAAATGCCCAGGATATTGTGTTTTACCATCCGAACACTGTATATCAGTCTCTGTGGACTGCATCACAACTGAAACACAAATAGTCGACACGACGAATGACGAAGAGATCGCATCTATGCTTTCCCCTGGTGAGATGACTGTCCTACTCCCGGTCTGCTTGTCTGTCTATCTATCACTGCCTGCGTCTTGACGTTCATCCTCGTGTGTGCACGTGTGGGGAGTTGTGTCCGACTGCCCAAGGTCATTTACCTTCTGAATCACGCATTCACCTCAGTCCCACCAACACGTGAACAGAGTGTGCTTTGTGCATGATCGATAGATACACAGGCAAATAGGCAAACTCAACTCGCGCGTCTATTGGACAGCAGTGAGTTGGCGCGTTTGTGAAGCCTATTCTGATTTGACTGCTGATCGCATGCCTTTGCGTTTGTGTTGGATGCACCACAGCAGGTATTTCAGTTGTACGATATGTTAATCGATGCAGCAACCTGATGCCGGTTCAGGATGTTTGGAAGACTGCATTTTGTTGCTATCGCAGTTTCCGTTGCAACGGTTTATCCGTAGTTGTTTTTTCTTCGTAGTATACGGTTGACTTATTTCACGAGGTTTTTTTTCTTTAGGCACAAGTTCACCCCGCACTTCCGTTTCACTTCACTTTTTATTTCAGAACCTCACATTGGATTAGGATGTTATCAAGTGAGCTTCGAAAGCTGTTTGTTTCAGGAACAAATGACCGTGGTGTGGTCAAAATTTTATTAACAGTGTCCATTCGTTGCTAGACCGTGAGCGATGGTCGAGATCACACACTAATGCCGGCTGAAATTACCCTAGGAAGGGGGAAATGTAAGAACTGATTTCTGGGATATTTTTATCGTTCACTGAATAGACAAACTAGGCAGAATACTACAAATCAGCAAATGCTAATATTACACGTGAATGCAAAAAATTAACGAAGACCAAAAAGCATGTGATACATTCCAGTAAAACGAGTCTAATGTACACTTGGACAAAAACATGAAGATGATTTCGGTTTTGTTTTTACTCATTTCCCGTTTGTAAATTGTAAATAAACCGCAGCACTTATTCATTCATGTCCTCGTGTCTTAACTTCCCTCATCCACACGTTACCACTACATGAGTGTAATATTACCTCAGGCATGAGGGGGCTCGTGGCCAAATGATGCAGATCACGGAATTATCGCCCCGGGAGGACGTGTGCTCAGATTGCACCACTATCCCTTTGCAGAACCCCATTCTGTGCTGCATACCGGCCCCACTCCTGAAAGTTGTATTGCATTCAACAAAGGAAAGCAAAATAAAGAGATAAAAGGGAAGATAAAACAATGTCTCGAGAACGTAAAAAAAACACTGATCCTGACACCGTATATGGTGGATATTCCTGCCACATTATTAAATCAAAGGTATGTTGAAATTATTCTCTCGTGTTTCAATTTGGTTTGCCTACATGTTATCCTTCACCGCACATGACTGTGTAGTGTATGGCTGGCGAGCACACTTTTAAACACTGTTATTTTAACACTAGAAAAGTGGAAACTTCCATGTCATCCAAACCGTCTATGTAGTCATTTTTATCTGCTTTTGGATTGGTCGATTGTATATTCCGAGAACGATACCTCACGGTGATTAATATTTCACACAGGTTTCCACAATTGGTCTGCTATCTGACCAAAGAACATCCATGTGTCTGACCACTCTAATCGGTTAGTAATCATGCTGGAAATACTCTCACAATGGTGTTTAAATGTTAACAGGTGTAGTATTTCATGAGTGATGATCAGGTTCTTGAAAGTAGGAAAATAGTTTTATCGAATTTAGATGCGGGATAGAGATGCAACTAAAATGAATAGCGAACGTCACACCACGGTGTGGGTCAGCGCTTCAGTTCCTCTCTATAAATTTGCGATGACATTTGAATAATAATAGGACACTTGAAACAATTTTATTAATATACGGGTATGGTTTTGATAATCAAGCTCGATTGCACCTTGATGTTACATTGCGCAGTGACCCGTATCTTATTTGGTGAGTGGAAACACCACGCTTTGACTTCTATGCCATGCGTTTTAGGGATAACTGGCCCTGGTTTTTAATTTTTGGATAAACATTGCATCTAATTGTTGTTGTTGTTTCGATTCATAATGGTAAGCTACGAAGTGTCGTTTGTGGATTATTTCTGTCCTGGACATTTTGTGAATCTATAATTATTTTGATCTCGGAATTTGTTGAGGGTTATTAGATGCTTAGTGACTTGATGATATTTCTACAGAACTTACTGACTCTTACCCGAGCGAGACGTATTTTGGTGCATAAAGGATAAATCAGTCACATACTTTGTGAAGGACGGCTCATGCGCATATGAATTTGCGTCCTCTGTGCTTATGTGATCACCAAACGATTAGATACCGAATTGCGAATATGTCCCATAACCAGAGCATTGTGTGATGGTGCACCGCTATGCTCGAAGCAAAACGAAACACAAACTTCAATTTCTCTCTCCCTAATTGCGACTGTGACATTGTCTTGCTGTTTTTACGATTTTGCAGTGCCTCAAACGGTAACGTATCAACTATCCCCCCACCTGTCCCGTTTCTTTTTTACCGTGCACATGGATTACCATTCTCTGCATGTATTTGGTCACTATACGACTGGATGTTCTGTCGTGTGATTTC